TCTGCCTGTGTGCGTGTGTGTGTGTGTGTGTGTGTGTGTGTGTGTGTGTGTCTGTGTGCGTGTCTGTCTGTCTCTCTCTCTCACTCTCTCTCTCTCTCTCTCTCTCTCTCTCTCTCTCTCTCTCTCTCTCTCTCACTCTCTCTCCCTCTCTGGGGGGAGGGAAGAAAGGATTTGAGAGAAACAGAGATATAGGGAGGCAGAGAGAGAGAGAGAGAGAGAGAGAGAGAGAGAGAGAGAGAGAGAGAGAGAGAGAGACAGACAGACAGACAGACAGACAGACAGACAGACAGACAGACAGACAGACAGAAAGACAGAGACGCAGACAGACAGACAGACAGACAGAGACACAGACAGACAGACAGAGACAGAGAGCGAGAGACAAAGAGAAACAGTGTGGCACTGTCTGCTTATTCAAAGTTGGTGCGAATGCACCAGACAGTCGGACTGACCCATCCTCTCACCTAAGTGAACTGGTTCATGCACTGGGTGATCCTGCCCTGCTTGTTTACCACCAGATTCAGGACACAGCAAACAGCGGTTCAGGGGCCTTCGCATGTAGGTCATTGCCCCAAATACCAGTTCTATAATAATTACATTTTAGTACAGACACTGAATCTACTACTACAACTACTACTGCTACTACTACAATTACTAATACTACCATTGCTGCTGCTGCTGCTGCTGCTGCTGCTGCTGCTGCTGCTGCTGCAATTACCATGGCTACTACTATTTATGGTGATGCTACTATTGCTATCATAACCACTTTACGATGATGATGATGATGATGAGGAACACTTTGAGGTTGTTATTATTATTATTGTCATTATTATTATTACTATCGTCATCATCATCCTCATCATCATCGTCGTCGTCATCATTAAGTGCTAGATCTGACCAGACATCGGGGATCATAGTCCTTTATTTATAATTGTTTGCTCAGATGCTCTAGGGTCTCCAAGTAGGTTGCTCTGGGTCTGCCCCTGCGTCCTTTGCTTTAAATTTGCCAATGAGAGCTAGGTGTTCAAGGTCATAATATGCCTATTCAAGTATTCCAACAAATGAATTTGTTGTCTTCGTGATTGGGTTGGGGTTTTTTTACATCAGCGAGCGGCCCGCGTGACCTGTCTAGCCTCTTTAGCAGTCCTCCAGAAACTTTGTCCCAATTTTCTTTCAAGTACAGGGTGACCCAACCCCCCTCCCCCCAACAACTTTACAACTTTTTTTGTAAATATTTTTATCCATAGTTCTGTGTGTTTCAAATTTGAACACAATATTTGGCAGCCAAAAGGAATTATGTAATATTCATTTTAGATAATTCCGCAGAATAGTTTTGTTCTGTACAGCGAAAAAGAAAACAAACCATTTTTGCCTTGTCCTCATTTGTGTAGCATGACGCATCAGTTCGCAACAAGCCTGCCACTAAAAGTCGCAACAATCGCGCCATATTGCAAGCTACAGCTGTCTAATGGGGTGTTCACACATACAGGAGAAGAGTCGACGAGCAATTCCCCAGAAGATAATGCCAAATTCAGGTTTAAACGTGGTGAGACTCTCGTCATGACTGTTGACACTATCGTGTCGGCGAGCACTCATGGAGACGCTCGCCGAGCGTCTTGCCGAGCAATTAGTTTGAAACATGGCCTCTTGCAGAGCCAAGAAACGCAAAATTTCACACGCCGACTAACTCACCGACAATGCTGTCCATCTTGCCGACCCGTCGCGGAGTCAGTTGGCGTGCAAAAGTTATAATATATAAAGAGGGGGGGGGGTATGTTTGCGCTCATTCATTCAACCTGTCTCCTGTGGCACAGATGATGGATGCATACTTCATGTATACATATGATGCCCTTGTTGTTGTGCTGGTGCAAAAAGACTAAGAAGAGGAGGAAGAAGGAGAAGACCTGTTGGGTTAGACAATGGCTCTTAAGTAGACCCCTGTATGGACAGTTTGAGAAGCTGATGGCAGAACTGCAAGTTGAAGATGTGGCATCCTCCAGGTCTCGTTGAAGAAGATCTCCTGCTCCCTGTACCAGTGGACGAGGTCTTCTTCATCATTAGCTGTGAGCTGCAGCCTGTCTCAACTGGTCTTATTGGCCTGACACGGAGGAGTTACAGTCCTGGCTGAAGAGGAACATCAGACTGCACGGGAGAGTTCTCAGGAGATGCCACCACAGCAAATGCAGATCTCGGAGTGGAAGACACCCAGGGCTCTTCTTCAGGTTCAGAAGCAGCAGGGCAGCAGGAGAAGGACTGGGAGCAGCAGCAGCAGAAGTATCTAGAAGGCTCATGAAGGCAGGCTGGACAGCAGGGCTTGGCACACATGAGTAAGGATTTGGTGAGTGCAGACTGGTATCTGCAGAAGGTAGAGCAACAGCAGAAACAGCCCTCCACATTGACTTTTTGGGAGGCATAGTAACGTTAGTAGAAGGTCAATTTGTAGATAATGGCAGGGACAGTGTGCTGTGTGTTTATAAGGTAGGGGCGCGAAGGTCGTCGTGTCACGGCACATGTTCGTCGTGTCAACTTTTGCACGCCGTGCTTGAGTACTCAGACTCCCCGTGCAGGATTTTTACATGGTGAGCAATAATTTCACCGGCAGAGTATAAAATTTAACTCAGCTACCATTCAGATCTCGTGGGCGTGTCACTGTCACTCGGTAACGCAAGCAACTTTGCACGCCGAGCTATTTCTGACACTCCCAGAGTCCTCCCCGGGTTTTCCCCAAGCGACTCGTTTTTCGCTCGGCAAATATTTTATGCAGGTTTGAACATTTTCAATCTGGGTGGGTCGAGACAGGGAGAATTGAAATCTCCCACTGTAATTTTCAGTTTAGGATGGTTCGAAAAATGTGTTGCAACATTCCCTTTGGTCTGCTGATAGGACATGTGTTCAAAACGTTCTTCAAAAGTTACTGCCCTCTTCAAGATAAGGTAATTAACTCAAACTGTGCTGGGCGAAAACCTTTCACTTCCTCTCTATCCTTGGTAATTTCTGGGTGAACCAGTTGAGCTTTGGAAAGACACATACTAAAAGAAAAATTATTATAATTTAGCATTTTTCATCAAAGTGGTGCAACGAAAGAATCTTAAACATACCAAGAGTGCTTTCCTTTATTCATGTGACCATAGACAAAAGCAGAGCTAACCTTTCACTGAACATTTATTCTTCATAAAGAGACGATACTGGTTTTTGGGAGATTTCTCGTAAAACACACACAGGCAGAAACCTGCGTGCCAGAATTCTGGTCAGTAGCACTGAACGAGTTAAGAGGAGGAGCCTCCGAATTTAGCATCCATCATCAATTAGAAGCTAGCCTTAAACACTTTCCAAAACACTCAAGTTCAAATACAGACAAAAGTAAATTTTGACCCTCATTCTTGAAACAGGTTAAAATTGTCTTTCGTGTATGACGTCACGACAACCCACATGAGGCCCCATGGTGGGTGGAGACGCCAGATGTGCGTACTAGATCAAGTCACATCCAAGGGGAGGGCTTCAATTTACCCCCCCCCCTTCCTCCCCCCAAGAACGCCCAATTGGGGATTTGAAATCGGGTTATCGGTACCAACACCCAGCACCACACCACCTTAGCTGACGACACATCCAGAAAAGATGATTATCATAATCATAATCATAATAGCAATGACAACAAAGATACAGTGCATATATTATTCGCTTTGTGACGTTACAACTACGTGTAGCATTACTCAAGCAGACCCTCGAACACTTTGAAACATTCTCGGCTTTCCGGAGACCATGCAAGGTGAGAATTATACGCGCTGAAACAACAGACTAACAAGCTCATCTGCTGTCTATAGCTGGGTACCCATTCCCACCAGGGTGCACTGTGGACAATTCGTGTAAAGTGACTTTCCTATGGACATAATGTCAGGTCGCTGACGGGATTCGAACCGACGACATTTCCATTGAGAGTCTGAGAGTCTAACAACTAGACCATCGAAGTCATAATATAGTTATGGTACCTCCACATCCAAAAACAGAAGGCAAAAAGCCATCCCAGAAAGCTGAAACCTTCCGCCAAATACGAGGTCAACTGTCGCTGCTCAGAGCCGTCCCCGGATAGCCTGCCTGTGTCTACCTGATAAATATGATATGTCGCAAAGAGCTAAGGATGTCCTCAATCCAACCCACAAGTACACTTTACTGTTATCAGGTCAGGTCAGACGAGTGGGTCTATCCCCCTTCCCCCCTCCACCCTCTTCCGCCCATCCTTTCAACCCACGCAAGATCTCTAACCCCTTTCCGTTCAAGTTGCCCAGAACAAATAAAAAGGAGAGTCGCTTGACCTTACACAAAGTTGATCTCAAGAAAGATCGAGCAATTGGCGGAACGAACGTTTCGTTCTTGTACCGAATCTTTTGTGTCAGTAATTAGCTAAATTATTTATATAGTGGTTGCCGTGCTAAACGCCGAACAGTAAAAACGTTATGCTGTGACATCAGGATGTCTAGCAATTGTGGGGGGGGGGGTTTTAGTTTCCCTTTTTAAAAGAGTTTATTACACCAATTAGGTACTGATAGGTCGTTTTGAAAGTCAGTGATTGGAGTGTGAAGAAGGAAGAGGAGGAGAGGGAGACCGGTAATAGAGACGGTAGGTGAAAGGAAATATCAATCACGAGCATTTCTGCATATAAGGCAAGGTGTATTTTGTCAAATCTTAGAGGAATTCCATTTCCCGCTGTCTTAAAATCTTTTATATCCCTTGTTAACCCAACTAGGAAGCTGACAAAAAAACTCAAGAAAAGTAGAATTTTATATCAAAAGAAATTTAGAAATCAATGAGAAAGCACAAGCAAAGAAATCTAGTTCGTCCATCTCAGAAATTGGTTCCATACTATTACAAAGATTTATATAACAACAGTATTGAAAAAGTGAGATCTCAGCAGAAGAATTGAATATTATAAAACCGAATAGGTGCAAGCGCTTTTATCTGTTTGACAAGTCCATCTAATTCCTTTCTCTCTAGCTGAAGGAACATTTCTACACCCTTGAACAGGAAACATCAAGAATACTTTGGAAAATCTGGTGACTGGACTATTGCTTGCTTCCAAGTGTTCGAACTCCCACCATGGAGATTGTGGGTTTGTTCCTGGGCTATCCTGTTACATCATGCCTTCTGTGCGTTTTGGCGTTGCTTCTGGCTTGGATCTGGTAAGTTAATGTATCTTTCTATTCTTGTAACATATCTAAGGGCGGATTTTAGCAGCTTTAATAGACCCATAAATTATGAAACATGGATGGCACAACATGTGGGGCATTACGTGAGTAGTCCAGGCACTTGGACAGTTATCAAAGGCCTTAAGCCCCAGTTACACGCAGCGATAGATTGTATCAGATTCGTCGCATGCGAGAACTGTCAGTTTTATCGAAGTTTGTAGTCTGTTTACATGTTCAAGTCTATCGTTATGTTCTCGTACGCACGGTGAGATTTCTTCTCCATATGTCAGAGAGACGCCATGTCTCTTGGGAACAATATCCCTTTGTTTGCAATCTTTGTGATATTACTTAAAGAAAAAGAGGATTGTTTGGACGAAAGAATGGCTTTTAAAGCGAAATACGAAAAGGCCTACATTCATCGTATCTCCCCATTTAGCTTTTTTCAAGTCTTTCTTGTACGATGGTCTGAAATTGTTTAGACCTCCTTTATAAAATGCAAAAGTCTTTGGTTGCACCTTGATTTAGCTGTTTGCAAAATGACACACGTTATTCGGGTACCTTCTCTCTTAATCTTACTTTGTTACTGTAGTCTTTAGATTCTGCAGACTTCATGAGATCTATGCATCTCAATTTAAGAAAAGAAGAAGCGGTTTCTTTTTTAATTATTATGTCGCCATACCACACAGTGACCGAGCAGGTAGACCTGGATACTTGACTTCACTATCAATTGTAAAATTAGATGTTTGCTAAAATTTAAATGTCGTTTTAAGTCAGGTTCCCCTAGACTCACTTTGCTTATTTTGATACGCTGATTCCCAAATTGAAGTGGCTTTTAGCTGCGATGATTTTTCACACAATCAATCCCACACAGCGACATACAGGATGATTTTTTAAAAACTAAACAACTTTTTTTCTGAATATTTCGCACAAAATTTTTACTAGAATGTTGTAATTTGGAACAGATATGATTAATTAATCCAAAAGGAATTTGTTTGACTTAAAAATAATTATAAATCATAAAGATAAAAAACTTGTTTTCGAAAATGGAAACGGCTTTTATAAAAAAAACCACCTATAAATGCGAAATGCGCCAATTAAAAGATTTTGTAAGGAGAGTCATGAAATTGTCGGTTGTTTTGTCTTCCTTTTCTTTTTAAAATCTAATATTTCCATCCCTGTAACATTTAAACTATATTTTTTTTCAATATTTGTATATGTTCTGGAATTCCGAGAACCAGTGCTATCTATGACGTCCTTCTTTGAACTCGACACATTTTAACGTGTCATTCGTAACGTTCAGTGGCGGCCAAACACAAGGATCCACCCAACCATGAGTACTCAAAGCCATACACACTGTACACCTTACAGTATGGCGTTATTTCTAAAGACAATAGGGGTGGGGTTGAGGTTGCCCAAATAGACGGCATTTGTGGAGTTAACAATAGTTAACATATCCTGAGGGGTGAAAGTGGGCTTGGCCAAGGAACCAAATGGCATAGAGGAAGTGTTCATGCTTTTCAATACGATGTAGGAATCATGAACACATTGCTATCCTCTGATCCATGTCAGCTTCGCAAACAGGAAAAGGGTACAGTCGTAGATGAAGATCTACCTTGAGAATGCGGACCGTTGAGATGTAGGAAAGTCCTAGCTGCAGACACTGTCTGCGCACAGACGTCTCATGGGGCTCATCTACTGAATACTGCACCCTGTTGACGTTTAAAGGGGTGTGAACCGTGTGTGTTTGACCTGAAGGGGTCTTTTTGTCGGGAAATATTTAGTTCTGATTCTCTTCAGGTCCAAACAGAAGGACCATTTTCACCCTTGACATCAAAGGAGGCCTTAAGGACACTTCAACATTATATCCGCACCTTGTGCGAAACTAACGAAATGAGTTGGTGGTGAGGAAGTGTTGAACACAAAAGGCTCTTTGTTCTTAACTAATCTTAACCACGATCTCAACAGCAAAGGAAACTTGAGAAAAACTATCCGCAAACTTCTGTTGACCTGTTAGACTACTGTAGCTTGCAATATTGCCCAACCATTAAGATATTTAGTGGTAGGCCTAATGTGAATCAGTGCATTACTACAAAAAATGGAGACATCGCTGAAAATGAGTGTTTTACGCGCTATCTAGAGGAAAACTATTTTGTGGATTTATCTAAAATGAATATCAGACAAATTTATTACGAATCCAAAATGTTGTGTACAGATTTGAAACACAAAACTTCAGTTTGGAGGAAAATATTTACCCAAAAAGTTGTTTAGTTGGGGTTTTTTGGTTGTTGTTTTTTTTATTTCCAGGAGATTCTGCGTCCTAGCTCATCCCTCCCAAATCGGACTCAGATCGCACAAAAAAATGTTAGGCGGTGTTTGATTTCTCTATTTGGTCTCCAATCAATGGATCGATCGTCCACTTTTTACACATTTATATGGTTACACGTAACGATTTGTCGTATGAACGATAGATCGTCAGATTTTTTAACAATCTGTCGATACGTTTAACCGGGCTTTTAGATCACTGCTTGCCAACCTAGGCGATATTGCCCACTCGTTGGCTGTTTGGTCATTTAGGTTGACGGTGAGGATCACTTGGGTAATGTTAGTAAGTAAGACAGTTTATTCAGTGTTTAAGTCCCTGGCCCACATTATATCATATAAAACACTTGTTTGTTAAATGAAGTTTCCATAGTGAAGGAGTACAGGTTGTACTCACATCTTTTATCATGGGTCAAACTTTGCATATTTCTGTCACTGGGCCGAGTCAGGCAGAGAGGAATTAACAACAGTTACTGGGCAGTGTTAGGTATTATTTAAAGCCCAAATTGGAAATACATGTAGGCAAATTTTAACCTCTTAATATAAAGGTGGCAATAGTAGGCAAAGTACTGAGAGAGAAAGATTTCACGTCTTTTTCGGCATCTCCGGGCGGGGCTGCGTTTAGCCAAAATGGCTCTTCGACTGATCAGCAAAGTGCACAGTCTGGGTTTACAGCTTAAGTAAAAACTCTAAGGCCTCACGGATGTCAAAGCAACGGATCTGAAACGTAAATGTATATGATGATATACATGCATGCACATATTTTCACCAGCCTTAGATCTGAATCTTTCGTAAAGAGAAGCTCTCTAACAAAATCAAACACACCCAAAAGCAAATAGAAACAAAATTAATATTGCATCATCCTTCAGCTGTGAAAGCCAAGAAGCCATTACTCAGCTGAAAAGAAGCAGGGACAGAGTCTACGACATCTTGACTTTTTATCTGCTTTTCAATCTTCATTTATGAATGAGGCATTGTTTTTGTGTTTCCCGCTAAAAGCTGATTTACTGGTCGGGTTGTTTGCAATACTTTGATCAAAGGAGCAGACAACACTGATACACTCATCAAGCACATACAAAAATGGGAAAAGGACAGAATCTAAAAGCATAAATTAACAGTATCCTAGGCCAGCTGTTCAGATGTACTGGGCCCAACATGTTAAAAACTTTGTTCATTAAAGTTTCTTATTTTGTGGTATCGGTGCATGTGTTCGAGAAATATTTCGTCGAAATTCAAATTCTAAATTTTGATAAAAAGAAAAAAGATAGATCTACTCAGTGTAGGTAAAACATTTGTTTTAAAGAAATTAAACGTTTTTTCCTCAGTCCTAAAAAATCTCTCTGGGATTAGTACATGTGAACAGCGCGCCGACTGTGTACATATTATGTATTCGACGGCCTTGTTGGCAGCCTCCACCACGACCGAGTATGCAACAATATCACTGACATTTGTTCTGAAACTAAGGTCAACGTCTCACCTGAAACTAAGGTCAACGTCTCACCCCGACCTACATGACCGTCCTTCTAGGTTGCTTACGGATAAGAAGAAGAAGAAGAAGAAGAAGAAGAAGAAGAAGAAGAAGAAGAAGAAGAACAATAATAATAATAATAATAATAATAATAATAATAATAATAATAATAATATTGTTTCGTTTCCCTAACTCAGTAAAAGTTTAAGAGGCACTTGCTCTCGTCATTACACGAAAGTCAAAAACTCGATCATGCCTAGTTCAAAACCACAGGACTGTTTCAAGCGGCTTGTTTACGAGGGTTAGATCTCAAGTGTCAGCAAAACAGAGTGCTCTTCCACTCTGAATGATAAGAAAAGGTCAAATAAAAACAAGGACTGCAAGGGATGCCGAAGTTTTATCCATGCAAATTTTTGGAATTTTTATTTTCGTTCCTTTACACGTTTTTAGAAAAAATATAGATCTAAGTCAAGAAAAATTAGTTATAGAATTTTTTAAAAGCTCAATACCTCACTTAATTAACTTTTATTTCAAATTGTCCATTACGTGCAATTGCGAAGCAAAAAAAAATAGTTTGCTATAAGAACCACAGTAATACCACCATCATCATCATCATCATCATCATCATCATCATCATCATCATCATCATCATCATCATCATCACCATCACCATCATCATCATCATCATCATCATCATCATCATCGTCATCAAGAAGAGCTCAACCCACGTTGCCGAAGATGCAACCATGAAAAGGAATGTCAAACATATGTTTGAATGTTCGGGAACAATGATAATTCGAATAGAGTTGTTTGGACAAGTGCAGGTGCCTCTAAGTGTAATGACAATGGAGACGAAAAAGAGCCCCGCTCTCGCTCGAATATTCCTTCGTGTAGTCCATCAGGCCCATTAAGGAAACAAACAGACGACAAATCATCATCATCATCATCATCATCATCATCATCATCATCATCATCATCATCATCATCATCATCATCATCATCGTCACTACTAAATCACACAACCACCACCACCACCACCACCACCACCACCAACAACAACAACAACAACAGCAACAATAATAATAATAACAATAATAATAATAATAATGATAATGATGATGACGACGATAATAATAAGGATAATAATAACAATAATAATAATAATAATAATAATAATAATAATAATAATAATAATGATAATAATAATAATAATAATAATAATAATAATAATAATAATTTTAAAGTAACAAGTACGTTTTTATTCCATTCCGTTGCCAGCTTTGTAAAGAGCCACTATTCAGTCTTCCAGAGGATGGGACTCCCCGGACCTGAGCCTGTGTTCCTCATGGGAAACACTCTAGACTTTGCCAAAAAGGTAGACAGACTGATCTCCTCCTCCTCCTTCTTCTTCATATTCTTACCCTCCTCCTCCGCCTCTTCTTCCTCCTCCTATCCCCCTCCCCCCCTCTTCCTCATCTTGCTACTCTCCCTACTCCTCCTATTCTTCCACTTCCTCCTCCTCCCCGCCTCCTACTCCTCATCTTCTTCCTTCTCCTATTCCTCCTCCTCCTTTTTCCCTTCCTCCTCATCATCTTCCTCCGCCTCCTACTCCTCCTCCTCCTCCTCCTCCTCCTCCTCCTCCTCCTCCTCCTCCTCCTCCTATTTCTCATTCTCCTCCTTTTTCTCTTCCTCCTCATCGGCCTCCTCCTCCCGCAATCCTTCCTCCTCCTCCTTCGAGGTTTTTAAATGCAGGACCAGACAGTATTATTGCCTTCATATCTCAGTTCTGAATATATTCTTCTTCTTTTGTTGAGGTTACAGAATAGCCTCGCTGTGGAGTGTTCTTGACCTATTTTATTATATTTTTAGCTTATCGTGAGCTGAGAGCCTGAGATGACCACGTCTGTTTTGGCTAACTTTCCTAAATTAGCACAGCTGAGGAATGCAAACGACTCTGCATCATGCCTGTAAATACCTAACCCATCTGTCCAGTAGTTTTGCTACAGTCGCAGTTCTCAAAGGAGACTATATCCAAGAGTTGCCTATTACACTTTGCCCTGCAAATCCGTTTTTTCTTAACACAGGTTTTTTTATGATAAAAGAAATGAGAACACAGTCACTTCTAACTCTCAGCCAATGACATATTAGAATATGTGTGGCAATAATATGCAACCTTAACTGAATCCCTTGCCTACTTCGAGCCAATCTAAGTGTTCATCTTTCTCCATCTATTATTTATTTTGCTGTTTGAGTATCCTCATTCGGATTTTCTTTTATTGACAAAATATATGTTTCGAGCGCACAAAACTTCTATTGTAATCATCCTCTTAGTAAAGAGGTTACCAAACGTCTTTCATCAAAATGGGCAGTTTAACTTTTTTTTTTTTCAATGCAATACACTGAATATGTGTATATCTTTAAAAAGTACATTAGCTAGAAGTTTCGAAGTCTTACATTTGCATTGTAGAGTTAAATCAAATTATAACATTGTATTTTGTTGACCGAATTCTGAGCACGTAATAAACACATCATACAAGAATGTTTGCTGTTGTTGTTATTGTTGTTGTTTTATCACGTGGTGACATGGCGGTGGGCCAACAAAAAAAACAACCCCCGCTTGACTAATCTGATAGACTGCCGTTGTTTGGTGACCCCTGCCATGGTGTGATAATGAACACTGTCAAACTCCTTCTTGAAGTACAAGGAAATAAAACCGGCAAATAGAGCTTCACGAGGTTTTCTACATTAAATGTTCCAATGGTGCATGATCTGTAGTTTTTCTGCGTTGCCTGAGTCCGGACTTGAACGATGTTGATTTCTTATTCCTCCTGTCCCCTTACGTTTGTGTACTTTTGTGTAGACAAAAACCTAAACTACTAAGAACAGTCTCTCCTCCAACCCCAGTCCCTAATTCAACGCCACCACCTCCGGTCGACTTCCCTCCAACAACTCGAGCCCTCTCTGCCTTCAACCACCTCAGCCCTTGTTTCATCACGCAAAGCCTTTCGCGAAGAGCATCGTGACTCTACCACCGCTGTTATCAACAAGAAAATCTGTTTGGATCTCGAGATAAAACTGACCAACGATTGTTGACTACGGCTGAGATCAACCAAAGAGCTCTCCACTTTCTATATAAAGATTTCCGAAGACGGAGCATTATTTGCTTATAGAGATAACATTTACCCGGCAGGAATGTTTTGTCTTGTTACTGGTGAAGAATCTGCCGAGTTAAAACGTGTTTTTTGTTTGTTCGGTTATCTTTTCTCTCTGTCTCTTTCCACACGAAGCTGACCCTTGTGAATTTTTTAAACTGCTCATTGGCGGGAACAATATAGTTCATTCGGAAGTTCATGAGAAACTTTGTCCCAGTTTTCTTCCAATTGTTATGTGTAAATGTTCCCACCCTCGCCGAACTGACGTCTGTTGTGTAGTGTTAAGGCACTCCGCCATCGCAGGACGAAAGCCCAAGTTCGATTCTCGTGTAAGGAGAAATTTTATTGAATATCTCAGTCTTTTTGAAGGGGTAATGTATCCCAAAACCTCTCATTCAATAGGTCCCGGGTTCGAATCTGGAGAGCAACGGAATATTTCCCTTTCTAAATTGTTCTCATTTCACATCCTTTACTGCTCTCTAACAATGTTCTGTCGTCTGCTTTCATCTCCACTTTATGCCCCCACCCCTTCACCTCCTTTGCCCTTTCCTATGGGCTCCTGACTCTCTCTGCAGACTTTCTTCTCCTTGGCTCCTTCTTACTGCTGTCTTTCATCCACACCCCTGATCTTACGGTAGATAAGATCTACACCTAGCCTTCTGGGACAAGGGTGAAAAATCTCGGAGGTCCCGTGTGCAAGTTGCGCACGTTAAAGATCCTTTGGTGCTCCCAAATCGATAAGAGTATGCTTCGGTCGCCACCTGAGCAAGATTCAAAATTTCCTACCAGCTGAAAATGTTTAATGTGTTCCGGGCACTCATACGACCTTATGCAATTGCCAGAGCCGTAAAACACTTATTTTAAAAAAAGACACCCCCTCCTTTCTGATTTAAATTGTGTCGATGGAGGCGTCAACCACTTTCATTTGAAAACAAAAAGTGCTCATCGACGCAGCTTGGATCATCATGTTACAGTTGAGGGGGGGGGGGGGGGGGGGGAGATACACATACTGGAAAACAGACGGAGACACCCGATGGATGAGCTTAAGTTTCCCATTCGGGAATTGAACTTCAGCCATTTCGTAATCGCACACTGTCTCACTCTGTCGCACGCAGAAGCAAACAAAACTTAAAAGCAACGCCCCAAACCTCATGAACAAAGCTTACCGTTTGCTTTGATTGTTTTCCTTTTCAGCTTCCTCTTGAAGTATTTAAGTACTGGACAAAAAAGTATGGTCACGTGTATGGGTAAGTGCAGCAACCATAATTACGCCCTTCTGATTCATACGTTTTTCATAATAAAACAGAACTAGACCCAAGCATATGTTTATTTTATGTGTTTTTTACTTCCCAATCGCCATAATTTAGATTATTTAGGAGGCGGGGTTCGATCCTGCTTGTCAAAGCTTACAAAAGCTAGTAATTCTGCATTCACGACCAAGAGCCCATTCCACTGTCCGCCCCACCACACATTGTGTCATCGGGGTACTCACTTCCTTATATTATTCTCCACGGTGAAATTGCTTACAAAGAAAGCTTAAGTGGGGCATTGTGCAGCTGTGAAAAATTAATAGTTATCGCATTACACACAGTCTAGTCTCCTACAGCTTTAGATACAATCGAATATGTCCAATACGACCATCCTTAGACAGGTGAACCTCTTGAACAGTGTTTTTATAATATAAATAATCGAAAACACTCAAGGGGGGGGGGGTGGGGTGGGGGAGGAAGTGATCATAATTTTATAAAGGTGATTATCTTGGGCAAGTGGTCGTTAGAACAATTTCGACCGTACTATAAGAGAAGATTGTTGATGAGTAATTATTGTAATCAACACGCGTTCTTGATTTATTTGAATCGCAGTCATGTTGTTTATCAAAAAAATAAAAGTGAGACACAGTTCCACTGACACTCAGCAAGCTTACATTTGTCCTTTTCTGTCGTGTTTCCCAGGTTCTATGAAGGGCTGCGCCCTAGTGTAGTCGTGTCATGTCCTGACTTAGCACACCAAATTCTGGTCAAACACTTCAATAAGTTTTCAGCACGACCGGTAAGTCAACCTCACATATTGTACTCAAGTGTTGTTGTTGTTGTTGTTGTTGTTGTTGTTGTTGTTGTTGTTGTTATTGTTGTTGATGATGACGATGATGTTGTTGTTGCTGTTTTCCGCGGATTCTTTTTTTTTTTTGGGGGGGGGGGCGCGTTTTATCCATGTAGCCATCAACGAACGTTTTGAATTCGCGATATGAGTCGCTCAGAGTCATGTATTTCAAAGGAGTAGCGCCCCTTTCAACATTTCTTTAACGATGTAATTTTGTGGATTTCTTTAAGATTCTGGAAAATCTTAAACAGACGTGCACGAAAAAAACCTGGCTTGTGGTGCAGTTTTCATTCTCCAAAACTTCTTTCTGGCGCACTTACATTTAACTGCTCGTATCGCTTCTTTGTCGACGTGGCTTTACTTGCTCTTAAAACTGTGCAGGGGTGCAATCTGTCATGTGAAGAGTGGTTCGTTTACTATAGGCAGCCACGGTGCTACTTTGATAACCAAACGATTCGAAGCCCTTCCCGGTGTATGCGATGTAGCGATTTAGTGCTTCGCCGTCATACCCTAGAAGACTTGAGTTCGATTCCCGTGCGGGGCGAATTTTCATTGAGCATTTCGGTCTTTCTGCAGGGAAATTGTGTCCCTTTTAACCTGAGTTTACTCTGGCAGGAAAAATCGAATCCCGCCTTCCATATGATTTAAATTGTGTCGATATTACTCAAATATCACAATTTGTAAAAGTCCCTCCATCATACCTTTATTTGACTTGTAGTCATAAACAAATCTGTTTTTAACTCACATTCCCAGAAAACAAATGCTGTCTTTAAAGCCCGTGGCTGCCTATAGTAAATGAACCACTCTTCAAATGACAGGTTGCACCCCTGCACAGTTTTAATAGCAAATCTATGTCAAATTCACTTGTATGGTTACCATAGTTTTAAATATTAATTTTTGGTATTATCCTTAGGTGATCAACCCTTTCACGCATGAACAAGAAGATCTGAGTCTCCAGAACTCCAGTGGAGATTTGTGGAAGAGACAACGACAGGCAGTGGCTGGAGGTTTGAGCTCTGGCGCCATTCGTCAGGTTGAACTTGATTTTCAAAAATATTTTTTTTTAACGTAGATATGGGATTTTTTATAGCAACAAGCTGAAAGGGCTCTTCGAGGGGTGGACTCGCTAATATCTGCTGAGGTTAGTAGAAGACAGACGGTGGTAGAGCCATTGGTAATAAGAAAAATATACTTTTTTTAATGAAGGATCTTTAAAGCCCTCATCGACACAGTTTATATCATTAAGGAAGCGGGCTTTTCCGACGGGACCAGCCCCGCTGAGGGGAAGTTATATCCCAGACCGAAACACTCAATAAAAATTCTCACCTTTCGGTAATTAAACTGAGACCTTCTCCGTGCCACAGCGACCTTCTACTGTCATTGCTCGATGCTCCTGACCTCTCAAAGATTGAGAAATGAGTAAGTGTATTGCAGTTCTTAACACTGAAGGTTAAATAGAAACTTTTCTTAGTTCTATGTTAGTGAACTTCTGTTCAAGTGTTAAGTCAATATGAGTTTTCTCAACACCACATCCTTGCCTCTCTCTCTCTCTCTCTCTCTCTCTCTCTCTCTCTCTCTCTCTCTCTCTCTCTCTCTCTCTCTCTCTCTCCTTTTTCTAAAAAATAAGCCTCACACTCTTGCCCCCTTCCATCCCGGTTTCAACTCTTCAGATGCTCCCCCAAATATGCAACATGACGAATAAAATGCTGGAATCGCTCGGCAAGACAACTGAATTCAACGAGAGCGGATTTTTTGTCGACAAGTAAGTATTTTTTTCCAATTTCTTCCTGTGTGAACGAACCCAGGATATCCCAACTTGGACTCCATTGATCATTTATTATCAGTAATCATTGTATACGTTTACACCCCTTTAAACACTGTAGCCTAAGGTTATTTAAGAACCTCCGAATTTAACATACATCCCCGAAAGGACTTAGCCAAAAGGGTGGAGAGCCTTAAAAATCCCCAACACAGCCCAAGTTCAGATCGCCGGGCTGGTAGATCTAGTACTAGTCTAGATTTCTTTTACTGTAGCTTTCGTCTTTTCTCTTTAATCGTTTTCGCTCATTTATTTTTTAAAATATTTACTTACGCCCGTCAAACTTTGCATGGAACTTCTGCAGGCTAGTGACCAAACAATTATTTTTTTTATTCTTGACCCAGTAATTTTTTTTTAAGTTTCTCTATTTGGGCCGTGTTTAAAACCACTCTTTGAGTGCATACGCAAGATCACTAAAATCAATTACTTACAGTAACCTAGCCTACAAAACTGCTCATTTTGAGACAACGACACCACCCTGTACCAACATTATAATGTAAGCTTGTCGACTTTTTCATGAAAATTGGTTACCTTTTTAATATGTCCAGTGGTGTCACTCTCATATTTTTTAGTCCGTTTTAAAATATCATCAAAGAAACTGTGTCGGAACCTTAGTTTGTAGTGCCCTTAACGAATGGAATGGGATTTTTGAAGGTATTGATAATTTAACTTTTAGACCTGTATGCAGAAAGCTGAGAAGATGCAATAGAGCGATTTGATTTTGTCTTGTTTTGACCTGTCAGACGAAAGTGAACAGATGCTAGGAGCACTGATAAGCCAGGCCTAACACACAATATTATCCTTTCTATATAAAAAAAGAATCATCGAATGCTACTCTCTGGACTGGTTTGCCCATGCTGCTCTGTACTATCCAACCAACGCTATGGCAGACGAGAGTGACGTCATGCTGCGGTACATGCGGGCCTCACACGAGTCGATGTCTCCCGACAATGCCGTCTCCGGACTAGCAAGTAAACCATCGTTGCCATCGTGATAAGATCGGATAACTACAAAATTTTAGAAATAAAATATTCTTCAAAGCATGTTTCATAAAAGTAAAGTTGTTCCCGCATCAATCGGGACATTGGAGATTGCCTTGTTAGTGAGACAACTTCCTGGGCATTCGGCATATTGTGGTAGGTCTCATATGCTGGTCAAAAATGTGTATTCAAATAAACAACCAAAAGTAGACTTTTTTTTAGCAGTATGAAAATCGGATAACTCTATGCCGTCCTTGTAATAAATCTGCTTTTTCCTGCTCCTGGAAAGTTTACCCGATGTTACTTATCCGACCTTATCACGACAGGACGGCGACGACATACATATTATTTACCATAACGCTGACAAGCTGCCTATTAACTGTTCTTCACCCAGAGCGCAACTTTTTTTCACAAATAAAGGGCCTTTTCATTCTTGTAAAAACTGTACCTCCATTATATATATTTTCTTGCTTTTTTTCAGCATTTGGAATTTAAATTTTGGCGAAATATTGCCCAAGCACTTGCGACCAATACCGCAAATTAAGAAAATTTGATTTGTTTAAAAGTCAGAATTTTTATTTTACAATCTCTCTCTCTCTCTCTCTCTCTCTCTCTCTCTCTCTCTCTCTCTCTCTCTTTCCCTCTCTCTCTCTCTCTCTGTCTCTCTCTCTCCCTCTCTCTCTCTCTCTCTCTCTCTCTAACACAAACTAAAATGCACACACACACATACACACACACGCACACACACACATACACACACACACACACACACACACACACACACACACACACACACACACACACACACATACATACACATTCACTTAGAAAAAGAGAGATCTATATTTCCAAAGGTTTGTGTGTGTTTGAAAAAGTTTTGTGGCTGCAGCACGACCTCATTAATTTGCATTCTTTTTCAAGGGAAGCAACACTTGATTATTTTTGCATCTTATTTATTTATTTCTTTTATCAGAGTTGTTTCCCTTATTGACCCGCCTCCTGAAACCGCTGGACAAAACTCATCGCCAGGTCACCCAGCTGATGACACAACACGCCACAACGTTTGTGAGGTCTCTCCAGGTGCTTTGTTTGTTTTGTTTGGTTGGTTGGTTGGTCTTTTGGTTTCTTTTTTTTTATTACTGCTGTTCTTTTGTTTGTTAGATTTATTTAAATTTTTGTTTTTAATTTTTGTTTTTTTATTTATTCCTTTGCTTGTTTGTTTGTTCGTTTGTTTGTTTGTTTGTTTGTTTGTTTGTTTGTTTGTTTGTTTGTTTTTGGACTCATAGAACTGTTACGTTTCCACTGGCATGCTAATGTGTAATAGCCTGCTTAATTTCAAGTTATTTTTAAAGGATTGATGTCTGATTTCGGAACACCACTTTCAGCACTGATTGATTATACCTGAGGTAGCATGTGGGTTTAAGTTACGCGAAGCTATTTATTTTTGCTTTAGGTTTTACATAAACTACATTTACTTGCTTATTGTTGCTTCTGTAGTTTTAAACTTAACAATATCGTTATAAAGGGCTTTATAAACAGTCGCCACCAAAGACTATTGCGGGCCACACACGATACAGGCAGTATTTGGGATCTGCGATCCGAAGGCGATCCTTGAGGCCGCCTTGAGTTTTTTCCTGAGGCCCGCTGAGACGACCCGGGCCAAGTGCACACACACGGCACAGGCCAGGACTGTGCAAACCTAGTGCTTGCCATTGTGGGAACAAACCACAAGTCTAGCAATAGGTTTATATTTGAAAATGAAGCAAAAGAGGCTCTGGTAAAAAATAAAAAAGTGGCTTCTCTGAAGACCTAAACACACAAACATCTACTTGCTTCGTGAATTGGTTGAATATTCTTCAGACTATCGGAATTATGTACGAATGGACGAGAGCACGTTCATCAAGTTGCTGCACATCGTGGGTCCCCTGATAGAAAAACAGAATACCATGATGAGTGAGACAATTTTGCCACATGAGAGATTGACTGCAACATAAATATTCCTTGCTACACGCAGATCATATGAGGATTGTTCTGTAATGACACTGTTCCTAACTGCATTTGTGTGAACGTTTTTCTCGTAACTAACGAACTCCTCGTATGCTTTGTCCTTGAGGTGTCTGTTGCCTTCCTCTTTGCACTTTGGAAATATAAAATAAAGTCCTGAACACTGTCTCTTGACCACGTTGCCATTTTCTTTCATTAAAACACCTACTCGGCATACTGGCTTCCAGGAAATTTCAGGCGAGGACAGAATTCAGACAGGCCTAGCTTAGTCCTCACACAGGCAGAGGATTTGTTTTGACTGCTGGGCCTGCCCTAGGTCTGTGTGAGGTCTGCGCAGTCCAATTGAGGCCAGGCCTAGAGGACAGCCTGTGCCGTGTGTGGCTGCCATATAATGAAAGTATTTTCAATAGGACATGACTCCCGAAAGTTGATCGTTCGGTGGGGATCTAAAAAAAACTTAAGGGTTGTCAGATTAACAAACAGTTTAAACACCCCCATCGCACAATCATGGAAAAAAATCCTTTCGGCAGTACTCTTGTGCGAGTCTCTCAGATATGGATGCCTTTCACAATAATTAATAGATACACCAAATTAACTACGAACGTACCACACTGACCTGCAGATCAACATGGATCCAGTCTTCTTTTCTAATTTTAACATTTTTTGTTTCAGAATGATATCACACAGTTCCAGAAAAATAATCACAAAAACATTATATGCCAGCTCATCAAGCACCAAGAATCTTCTGGAACGTCGCCATCTCAGGGCAAGGCGTCACCCTGCCGAGAAACGGATGAAAAACAAAACGTGAATCATGCCCAACAATCAAGCAGACCCAGTTTGAAAGAGTCTGAGGTTGTTGGGGAAATATCAGGCCTTGTGGGAGGTGGTGTCGGTCCTATTTCTTCGGCCTTGACCTTCTGTCTGTACACGCTAGCCGTGTACCCCCAAAAAGCTGAGCGGGTTGTACGAGAAGTGGACGCATTGGTATTTGCAAAGGTTAGTGACTTATACTGGTAGAGCAATTGGTGTAATACAATGTGTAGATAGATAGATAGATAGATAGATAGATAGATAGATAGATAGATAGATAGATAGATAGATAGATAGATAGATAGATAGATAGATATTGTCAGTCAAGAAGAAGAAGAAGAAGAAGAAGAAGAAGAAGAAGAAGAAGAAGAAGAAGAAGAAGAAGAAGAAGAAGAAGAAGAAGAAGAAGAACAAGAAGAAGAAGAACAAGAAGAACAAGAAGAACAAGAACAAGAACAAGAAGAACAACAACAGCAGCAGCAACAGATACAACAACAACAACAACAACAACAACAACAATAACAACAACAACAACAACAACAACAACAACATAGATGTTTTGTACAAGGAGATATGTTTTCTCCCCAGGACGTGCCCAGCTTGGAAGAGCTGAACAGCCTACAATATCTGGACGCTTTCATCAACGAGACGCTACGATTGTTCCCTGTGGCTCCTGGGTTAGTGTACACAGTTTATAGACAGCACTTAGATAAGGGGGACCTTAATGATTTCGTTTTTTGTCTTGAATTTATTACTTATTTTAGTTTTTGGTTGTTCGTTGTTGTTGTTGTTGTTGTTGTTGTTGTTGTTGTTGTTGTTGTTGTTGTTGTTGTTGTTGTTGTTGTTGTTGTTGTTGTTGTTGTTTTGTGCTTGCTTGTTTGTTTAGGGTTGTTTTTGTTTGTTTGGTCTTCTTTTGTTATTGTTGCTGTAGTTTTAGGTTTCTGTTTGATTTTTGTGTGGTTTTGTTAATTGCTGGGGGGCTAAACCTTGTCTTTTTTAGGTTCTGTTTGTCTGTTTTTAATGTTTTGTTTGTTGTTGTTGTTGTTGTTGTTGTTTTTAGTTTTATCTTTGTGTTTTTGTTGTTGTTGTTGTTGTTGTTGTTTTTAGAGTAGAAAAATTCTTCCTCTTCAAGGAGTAAATTTAATATCTCAGGCCGTGTCCTCTCCATACCCGGTATATCCCAATATCTGCACACGACATATAGCGTTGTTTATCTAGTGGTAAGGCTGCCGAACTAGTCATCGTGAGAATGTAGGCCCGATGTTGCTATGCTCTGCTCAATTTTCCTCATTTCACTCAGGTGTTAATGGGTATCTGGCAACATACAGAAGAAGATTGTGTCATATGTAAGTGTGAAATGATAGCTTGTACTTTATACTTCCAACGTAGTTTAGATTGTTTCAGAATGCTCTCAGGTCTGCTGGGGTAACAATGTAGATTGTAAACGACACAGGGGCTTGCTGTTGAGTGGGATATTAAGCCATGCAAGCGCTATCTATTGTTATCATCATTTAGGTATATTATGTATACTCGTTTACTAAGCACAAAAATGTGTGAAGAGCTTGCCGTTGACCAGGAATTTGAGCTAAACAAGCGCTGTCTTATTGTAAAAGTTTGTAAGTATCCTCGTTTTTTGAATTGCAACGTGTGCGATTGTCAGCTCGTTAACTCATGATTCCCGTATCTAACAACAGAGGTATGTTTTTTTATGTAGTTCAGGGATATTGTTTTAGTAGACTATAATCATTGTAATACTAGAGGGTACTGCCATAACTGTCAACCTAGTTTTTGACCTCTTCCTGTATTTGTAGTTCTTCTTTTTTCTGCCTAATTAAATATGGATTGATTCGTTCTGTGATCGTAAAATGTACGTTTGTCAATGACAGCTCGTCAGTTTGCTGTCCTCGAAACGCTACCGTAATAGCCTGGGTATATCATTGGAATTGTTTTATATGCTCTCCACCGTTTGTTATCTGCTAACAGGTTTTTAGAAACTAGTGAGTCACTCTTGGCAATTAAACAACTGGACAAAATGACAGGAAATGATTATTTCATTGTTATTTAGCAAGTGTGCTTTGAAAAGAGGTACTTAATCATCTTTCAGCCCTTTGCCTATACCCTACTACAAACGGAACATAAACTTTACATTGTTCCATAAAACAGGAAGGTACTAATTTCATGTTTTTAAGGTGCCAATGGGTAATAAGGATATGTCCAGGTTGTGCACCACTTCTACAGACCATCCAGATCAGCTGCTGTGGTACCTAAGGTTATGAACTTATCCAAAAACTGAGCCCTTGAGATTCGAATGTAAGCGTTGTCCCAGGTTTTGTGGTCTTTCGTCCAAAGCCTGGCAACAGAGGGCTCAGCTCTGCAAGGATTTGATCTGTTTAGAGTGATACCTTTCTTTTTGTCAAAGTTAAAAAAACTCGTATGTTTCTAGCCATTAACGTATTGTTGATAGTCGATGGAGGGAAAGATTACAAGACGGGGGGATAGGACAAGGAAAAAGATGAGGAAAGCTTAATAGGAAGGTGTTGACGAGAAGAGAAAGTGAAAGAAGGGAAGAGTGAGATGAAGTGAGAACAAAGGCAGATCAGAATTGGTAGAAATTTCATGTACACCTATTGAGGTCTCATAAAATTATGTCCCGTGCTGTACGCTTCGTATTTTTTTAAAAGTATTTTTTGTACAATACTTTCACTCACTCCATCTCCCTCTTCCTCATCTCTGATCTTAAAGTAGACAGGCCCATAGTCTCCACAGATAATGACGAAAAATCTCGGAGATCCCGTATGCTCCTTGCACACGTTAAGGATTCGTTTGCGATCTAAAATCATAGAAGAGTAGGTTGATAGTCCGCCATCAGGGCAAAATTTGTAATTTAAAATTTCTTTGCCATTAAAAATGTCCCTATAACATCTGTAAAAATATAGTAAGACGCACTCTTACACCTTCCTTGATTCCAAACGTATTGACGATCTCTCTCCCTCGGAGCATCAAAGAAGTCAAGAGATGAGAGACGGAATCGGACTTGGGTAATCTACTTCTTCTATATCTACTGCAAAGTATGTCTCATGCTTTAAGATCGACTGTCAAGACAAAAAGCCATGCATAATTGCATTGTCTATTACCAAGAGTAAGAAGGGGTAAGGCTCTCGGTGTCGCAACCGTAAGGTCGTGGATTCAAATCCCTTCAGAGGCCCGACATAGTGTCAATTACACGAACTGTCCTCACTTCAACCAGGTGGGACTTGGTACCCAGCTATAGACAGCGAAAGATCTTGTCAATTTGTTAGTGTTTGAGCGCTTAATAAGCTGCTTGCACTGTATGCTTCCCGGTAAGCTGAGAATGTTTCTGAGTATTCTATGGTCTGCTGGGGTAATAATAGAGTGTAAAGTGCAAAGAGCTTGCTGATGAGCGGGAGTATGCGCTATACAAATGCTATTTATTACAATAATTGTGAGAGTGGATCTCTCTTGATCTTGACACAGGGTATCCCGCATGTGTATCGAAGACTGCACGGTAAACGACATTCCCTTCTCCAAAGGGACGGTGGTCAGGGTGATGGGCTCCACCATGAACTGCGACCAAAGCTACTTCGACCGACCTAGCGAATTCTTGCCCGAAAGGTATGTTAGTAAAACAGTGGTCAAAATAGCCAGCTTTTGTTCGCAATGTTTCGGGTATCCTTCGGATTTCAAAGGATATTCAAAGTTCGGTTCGGTACACAGTTTACAGGTGGGTGTGACATTTCTCCTGACGAATAATGTTATCATTATCACTTTGTAATTGTGACTGTAGCAAGAAGATGAGGGAGGGCTGAGGAGGAAAAGATAGAAGGAGGATGAGCGAGAGGGAGAAGGAGGAGGGCGTAAAAAAGAGGGGAAGAGGGGGAGGAAGAGGGGGAGGAAGAGGGGGAGGAAGAGGGGGAGGAAGAGGGGGAGGAAGAGAGGGAGGAAGAGGGGGAGGAAGAGGGGGAGGAAGAGGGGGGGGAGTGTAAGAAGATTAGGCGAGTAAGGAGGACTGAGGGGTGGTGGAAGGAGGAGTCATGTATGTATAGTATAAGGTTTTACGGCGCTCGCAACTGCTAAGGTCATATGAGAGAATGACATCATTATCATTGCCTTTTTCACTCTGGATCAGGGTATAGACTACGAACAGACACTTTCCACCTTTCCCTATCCTTGGCTAGCCCGTTGATATTGTACCATGTCTTCCCACCTTTCTGTACACCATTCTTTGAAACACTACTCTTCTGTGAGAATGTGATGTGTGTTAATGGTCATGGCGGCATACAGGTATAATTAATTGGAATTGTTCTCAGCTTTACACAGTAATGTTACTGGTATGACTAACGGTCTCACAGATATAGAAGATCCGTGTGAAAACAATTTCAATTCCTCTTCTCATAACAAAAATACTAAAAGTTATTATTTGGCTATTCTGTGGCATTTTTCCTGGCGTACAAATCAGTCTTCCATCCCCCTCCCCCTCCTGAAAGTCTACTCCCCTCCCCCCCCCCTCTCTCTCTCCCTGTCCCCCTCTCTTTCTCCCCTTCTCTCTTTCTCCCCCTCTCCCCCCCCCCCTCTCTCTCTCTCTCTCTCTCTCTCTCTCTCTCTCTCTCTCTCTCTAATACATTCAGTAACCATCCCCACTATCATTCCTTCTTTAAACTATTCCCTGTTAATTTGGTATTTCATGTGAATCAACACGGACAGATTTCTGCAGTCAGATTCCGACACCGCTCCCTCGTCACTTGGCCTGCACCCGCTACAGAAGAGCGCGTGGATCCCCTTTGGTTTGGGGCCCCGGATGTGTGTGGGTCAGAGGTTGGCACAGGTTGTCCTCAAATTGTCCTTGGTTCGAATCTTGCAAGAGTTCAACATCAGGACCTCGCATCTCACTCAGGTACCCTGTTCACTATTGAAGTAATCTCACTCAGGTACTATGTTCATTATTGAAGTTATCTCACTCAGGTATCCGGTTCAATGTTGAAGTTATCTCTCTCGGGTACCCTGTTCACTGTTAAAGTTATCTCACTCAGGTATTGTGGTCACTGGCCATCTTCCTGGAACATATCAAAGACATTGTATTATAATTCCAAAACAGGGCACTCCTGGTGCAATTCCGGTTCATTTAGAGCCATATTTTAATAGTGGACAAAGAGGGGAAAGTTCCGCAAACGTACTGGACTATAACTAGGCGATGTTTTGTCCTTCATTAAATTTCTTCTTTTTTTTTTTTGGTTGGGGGGTAAATGTTTTACGGCGCTCGCAACGGCATAAGGTCGTATGAATGCACGGGACACATTAAACATTTTCAGTAGGTAGGAATTTTTTTAATTTTGCCCGGGTAGCGGTTGAAGCCTACTCTTATCGATTTTGGACACCAAGGGATCGTTAACGTGCCCACTTGACCACGGGACCTCCGAGAATTTTCGTCCTTGTCTGAGAAGGTTAGGTGTTAGATATTTCCTACTAGAAGATCCGGGGTGTGGCTGAAAGACATCAGTAAGAAGGAGCCAAGGAGTAGCAGTAGAAAGGCTGCAGAAAAAATCTGGAGCCCAGCTGAGGGAGCAAAGAAGGTGAGGGGGTTATGACAGAAAGTGGAGACGAAAGCAGACGACAGTACATTGTTAGACTGAGAGCAGGAAAGAATGTGACAGGCGAAAAGTTCCGTCGCCGTCCGGATTCGAACTCACGACCTATTGAATGAGAGGCGAACACCTTAACCTCCAGACCACGAGGACCCCCCTCCTTCATCTGAGTGTCCATGGGGTGCACAGTGCAGTAAAATTTTATAGAGAGCAAAGAGCGGCCACCATGGCAGCGCCCAGTCTAGGATATTACAATTCAAGTCTATGGAACATACAGTATAAAGAGACGTTACAATGTTTAGGTCAAATGAAAATAAAGCAAAGATCGTGCTGTCTGTCCATGACTTTATGTTGTCAATCAATAGTGGCCCCTGCCTTCCTATTATACTACTCTCGTCCTTTATAGCTTGCCTCCACGCGGTTGGGCAATGTTACAAAAGTAAAAGTAAACTTGAGTTCTCCGTTTAGTACTTACTTGACCCATGATAATAAATATCAGGGGTCTCCACCCTCTATGGGGACACACAAGGGTCGCCATGACGTCATGTGCGAAAGACCCTTTAAAACTATCTCAAAGACATGGTGGATGGTCAAAGTTTATTTTTACCGCTACCGGTACAACTGAGCGATGCATTAGCAGCACCGTGACTCTGCCATTCTTCTCTCAGTCCCCATGAGCTTATATGACTAAGTTTTTTCAATAATTCATCTTTTTACTTTAAAAGGTTCCTCTGGAAGTTGCCTTACGTCCGTTCCTGGTCGCTCGTGATGGTGTGCACGTGCAGATGAGCAGACGTAAACAAAACCCGATGAAGAGCTCAGGGTGACTTCATTCCCAGTTACCCGGTCTACGGCGATGGGCGACAAAGAAAATACACGAATGGGAGTTTTAGATGCCGTCACTCCTCATCTACTCGTCTATGGCGCCTCTGAGAATTGAACTTTTCGAATTCTGATTATGGCCCTGCTAGCGTTCAACTATCTGGCAACATTACCAAGTGTTTTTTCGCTACAGATTGACTGTATTGCCGGTTTTAACTTATAGAGCAAGGGTAGACAAATCCCGGCCCGCGGGCCAGATTAGACCAGCGAGGTCAGTTCGGTTGGTCTGCCGCCAGGCCACCATGCCGTAAAAAGACCCTCGGAAGATCTGGGGGGGTCTTTGCGTGCTCGGGACGTGAGATATCAAAATAAATCAATAATTTCACTGAACTCTACAGTGCCAATCGAACGTGCTTTTATAGACTTCATAACGTCACACTCTTGCAGGGCTTTTATGTGACAAAACAGTCATTCAGCTCGCGGTCCTCATTCCCTCAGTTATTTGGCTCCATTTGAAAAAAAGGTTGGCGACTCCTATTATAGAGCATAGATTCTATTATGTCAGAAAAGTAAAAAGCGAGAAGAGGTTAGGAATACACATCATCATTGGTTCTCCAAGTGATGACATGAATAACTTCTGTGCTCTCTTCATCCGCTTGTTCAGTTTGAGTTTTAGCCTCAAATGTTCACCTTTTTTTTTCAAAGCTATTTTCAAATCATAGTGGTAAGAGCAAAAGAATGAATAAAACATAATGGGCTGACGTTTTAAAAACATGATCATTGTTCTATAACAGAGCAGATAACTGACACTTTGAATACATGTGCTCTGATGTACGGAAGAGTTGGCAAATGATCTCAAATAACGACATGCACACTCTCTTTGAATCCTGGTAATAATATATTATTTTTTGTGTGTGAGTGTGGGTAGGGCGGGGTGGGGATGGGTTCTTTTCTTTTTAAAGATTTTTTTTAAAAATTGTTTTCTTGTCTTCTTGCTTTTGGGTTTTTTATTAACTTTGTTGCTGTCGCTTTGTGTTTGCATTGGAGCCTAACGAGCAAAGAAAAGAGCCCCCCCTCCCCCATTTCCACACACACACATCCCCCCCCCCCAACCCCCAAGAAAAAACATAATGGAGAACTGCAATCACAGTAGACCTGAGAATCACTTTGGATGGTAAAAACAACTGAGAGAAAATTGTGATCACATCCTATATCTATATCAATCGGCATAGGGAAGAACTTTGGCCATCTCTTTTATTGCTTTGTATGCATTATCCTTTTATGAGAGCACTCGATTGTGGGTACATTTCACAGAAAACAAGAGAATGAAAGAAAAAGTGAAACAGAAAAACAAGAGATAGAAGGGCAGGCAAGAGAGGGAGACCGTAGACGTTTCACGTCCCCATCAACACAGTTTAGATCATTTAGGAAGCGACCTACTTCGAACCGGCCTGTAGATGCCAACCCGTGCTGAGAAGAGTACAACCTTCCAGCGGAAATGCCGATACTCAATTCGATACAAACTGTTCCCACAAAGGAAGCGAACTCAAGTCTCCTGCGTGAGACGGCGAAGTGCTTAACCACTGCACCACAGACGTCGGTGAGGGGGAGAAGGAGGGAGAAAGCGAAAAGAGAAAAACGCAGGCTGACAAACAGCCAGACAGCAGGACGTATCACTAGTATCAGGGGCGTCGCCCCTGTTTATTCTTTTTTAAAGATAACATTGATTACTGTGACTTTTATGTTTGTTTGAGTGTAAAGAGAAGCACATCGACACAATAACGGTCATTTAGTGCTAGGAAAAAGGTACGACAGACAGACAGAAACATCAGAGGGAAAGAAAAGAAGTAGGACCTACCGTTGGCGCCATTCAACCACCATCAGATTTTTATGTAGTTATGTATCAACTGTATGTCTTCAATTACGAACCATAGCATTTAAAATCAACTTTTTTACCTGATTTCTTTTTTTTACCCCTTCTTTTATTGTGTCGAAAGTATTCAAGTGGACTATGGAAATAAAGGATTTGTTCTCGGAGTATTTATTTTTTGTTTTGTTTATTTGTTTCTTTGGGGTTTTTAAAAATTGCTTTACTCCGCCTCGAATACAGACCTGGGAGCTGTGCTGCTGCAACGCTGCCCGTCAGGGCCTCAGAATACATCAGCATCTGAGGTGTACCGGTTGAATGCTGTGCCATCGACTGCAGAAGACCTTAGTTCGATTTCCCCGTGGGGAGAAGTCATATCGAGAACCAGTCTTTCTGTTGGGAAGCTGTATAAATTTTAACCCGGTTGGCCCTGACAGGTAGAGTAGAAGAAGAAGTCCCCCCTTCTAAAAGTTCTTAATTGTGTCAATGGGGGAGTAAAACAACATTGGAAAGGGGAGGGGGGGCATGGACGTCTTATCTCAGTAGAATATACAATCGCCCATTGCCTAACCGATAGCCACAAGCAGTTTTCGGTTGTACTTTTAGTAAACTCTTTATACTGCCTAGAGTGGGTTCAGTCTTTGAATTATGCCCGTACAGCGGCCCAAAAGACCGTACAGATAGTGCAAATATCAACTACCAACTATGCTGTTTTACTTACCCAAGCATTGATCGTTGTGCATACAATGCATTATCTTTTTTTATTAAGAGTTTTGAAAGACTGTTTATTTTATCCTTCTCGCCTGGGACTGTCAGCAGCTTTCCATGGAATGTGATTGTCAAGTGGAGAAATGTTGGGGCTTGAGTAGTGGATAAATGACGTCTTTGTCAAATGTACGCTTTATCCGGATTGTAACATGTGCGTACTAACAAGGACTTGCTTACAATATCTAATTTGCAAAGCAATACTATCAAACAACGACACGCAAACATATCGACTTTTTAATCATGTTTATTCGTGGGAAAGCGTAAAGAAACCTAGAACCAATGTTAACATGCCAACTGCCTTGTATAAATGTATCTTAAAGACTGTTCACACGAATTGTATTGTCATAGGTCAATTTCCTGTAGAGTAATTGAACCGCAACTTTAAAATATCCTGGATAAAATATAGGAGATCTACCAACACTTGAGTCCACTTGAATCCCAGTCGTAGCATTCTTCTCCTTGGGTCTTTCCTGCCAATTGTTATAATCTAGAATAGATTTCTTGCGATTTAAATGTGTCTTAAACAGTATCATCTATATTGCAGTGTCCAATAAAACCATACCTCCTCTACATCTGGTTTTCCTAATTCTCTGTACCGTAGATGATTCTTACGATGCTGGGGAAGGAAGTGTTATAACTCTTAAGATCCTTTTCTTTATCAAAGTGTAAGTTAACGATATGATATTGTATTACACTGCTGCATCTGATACGTATGATTATTAAAATTAATCCTTTTTTGTCCTGTGTCCTTTTTGGGGGGTTGCCCTACCAGTGAACCTATTCATGTCAGACAGTCATTGACTCAAAGAATGTGAGTGGATAGGTACAATGATATGTTAACGCTAAAAATTAATAATAGGAGAATTATGAATGACAATGATTAGATTATTAGATTCATTATTGTTTATACTATTACCTCCTTAACAACCACCGACGTGTTAGCCCATACTTGTCTTGGAAACCTACGACGAGAATACTCGCCCAGAAGAAAGATATTTCACAAATTTGTCCCACTTTCTACATTACAATCCACGTTCTCCATACACTGGCTAAACTGAAGTCTACATATCCTCTTTTTGTAGTAGTTGTTTTGTTGTAGGAAAAGTTTCACGGCACTTGCAACACAACTAGGTCGAATAAGTGCCGAAGATTTGAAGTGTTACAAGAAAGTAACAAACATAAGAAGAAGGAGGAGAGACAAGGACGACAGCTGTTTGATAAAAAATAAGAAACAAACCACATCAAAACACCCGCCAACCACCAACAACACAGCCTTTGCTCGTTTCAATTAAAACTGTTCTAGTCTTAGAGATGGGTGCACTCTTCCTCTGCACGTTTAGCTGGCAGTCCCGGTCCTTGTTCATCTGTCAGCCTCATGGAGGCTTGTCACTAATGGGTTAATCCGTTTTCCTGGCGTTTACTCTCTTGATGTCAGAGTAAAAGCGTTTTCCAAATCCAAACATCCACAAGGGACCGAGGTAAAATGTCATAATCGCTAACAGAATAATCCAAGAGACCAGCAGATCCACGGGCCACTCGGCGATCACTCTGTCTCTGTACTTGAACGTCATGTACCAAAGGTGAATCTCGAGCCCGTGCCTCATATGCATTCCATGGAGGAACATGAACTCAAAAACACGCCCAAACGAAGTGGAGGCAACCTTGGATTTCTGAATAGTGAAGGCGATCGCAAGAAACGGAAGGATTACCTCAACAGCGAGAAATACCGCCATGAAGTAGTGTCCCTTGTCATGGAGCAGCATGAGAGATGAGCAAAAGAAAATGATCAGGTGGTGAATTAGCATAGACATGTTCATTACGTTGAAAATTGTACCGACTACAAAGATGGCGAGAGTGTCTGTGATGTAGAAAGCCCAGGTCACCAGGACAACTAGAGTTGCCGAGGACGGATTCCCGGAAATGACGTCAGAAGAGTTTTCGGAGTATTGCAGAAGTGTGTTGAAGCTAAAAACTGAGATGTAAACGCCATAAACAGCACGTGACCACAGAATTGTCGACAAGGCCACATTCTTTATGGCATTGCCTTTGATCCTCATCATGATTGGGTAGAGTATAGCGAATATCAGTGCAAGGGAGGCGATGTGAAAGACAAAGGTCTGAACCACAATTCGTCTTGCGGATTCCCATGTCCATTGGTCGGGGGGATTTGTTGACAGCATTCTGTCGTGTCTTCGAGGTTGTGGCTCTGTCCTGAAAAGAAATACATAATTTACTGGAATATAACCATACATGTGAAACACCATTCATCATGCAAGAAATCATTTACATGATTCCACGTTACAGTTATTGCTTTTTACTTCGAGAACTAATGCTTTGTATCCAGTAGTTTTTGGTTTGAGTTTTCTGGGCTTTGTTTTGTTTGTTAAGGTTTTTATTTTTATTTTGTGTTATATATGTTTTACTCTTACTTTTTCTTGTTTTCCTTTGATTGTTTTTCTTTGGGGAGGAAAGGGTGTAGAGCTGGTTCCTTTGAATCCGCAGAACAAAATTCTCGTAATCCCAAACCAATTATCAAAATTATATTTCTTTGGGGGGGGGGGGGTTATTTGTTGGTTAGTTGGTTTGGTTTGGGGGTTTTTATGAATCCACAGATTATATTCAATTTCTTATTTGAAACGTTACATGCACATTAAATAAGAACGAGTCAACAACAACGTTTGCTATTTCGACTTTCGACAAACCAGTTCCCTTAAGCCTTAAGCCCCGAACACACAATCGCACTCTAGCTTAGCGAACCAGGCCTGTTACCGCTAGGTTGTAAACCTCTCAATAATTTATGAATCTGGACCTGATAAGACTTGTCTCTTTTCCCCGTGAACAGAAAGCAAGCAACCCAAAAAAGAAAACAGGTCCTAAACCCGTGGTAGTCTCGTGGAATGCTAACGGAGCAATACGTTGCACCATAATTTGTTTTTACTGCACATTGTAAGTGCTCCTAAAAATTAAAACAAATAAAGCCAAACAATCCCCCACGCACCAGCCAGGTTACTGCGTTAAGAAACCAATAAATGCACGCAGTATGTTTTTTGCTTCTCCTGTACAATTACCTCTGTTGGTGTAAGTTAGTCTTACAGGGCTACAATTTATTGGTAGCCACACAACACATATTCTACCTTTATCCTCACTCATACATAATTTACTCTGAAGACACATTCCGACCAGTGATCCGTGTTCACTGGTGAAATTATTTTGGTTTGTTCTTTTTACTTATTTATTTATTTATTTATTTATTTATTTATTTTATTTAACTTATTTATTTATTTTATTTCATTTATTTTTCTTTGTGGGGGGGGGGACTTGTATGTGTATGTGTGTGTGTGTGGGGGGGGGTGTTAGTAATTGTCAATATCAGAATGAAACCAGGTACATCATTTGACAGCCTGCTGCCGATGATTGGACAGCACATTAAAAAAGAAGACACTTTCAACAGAAGACATCTTTCACCGCAAAAGCAGCTTACTCATTATAACACTCAGTGACACTTCACAATACCGACACACGAGACTTGATGAAAGAAATGGTATGGCTGCCATAAAACAAATTTCACACTCAAAGGTCAACTCTTGCCAATCAAACCACACGTAAGTTTAGTCTGGTTCAGATTCGTCATATTATACGGGAAATGTTCGTTTTATCAAACCGTTTATACTTTCCAATCTATCGTCCACTTCGCTAACGATTGGGGAGAATCCTCCTCCTTTGCGCGGCTTATTTTGATACAATGCACAGATTCCGAAAATGGAGTTCGTTTTTAGCTGCGATAAATACAAAAATTGTATGCTTGCTTCGAAAATTTCGCACGCAAAGTTTAACCTCCCGCATCCCAGGGAGTCTTTCCCAAATCCCCTAACTCGCCTCTTACCTGTAAGTTTGTCCAATACAATGTACTCACTTTTTAAGAGATGACTTTGGGTGACGGATACTTAAAGGCTAGCAGAGATCAGCAAGCTGGCGCAGCTTTATGTATAACAATAACACTCTTTCTCTCCCTCCCTCCCCCCTCTCTCTCTCTCTCTCTCCCTCTCCCTCTCCCTCTCTCTCTCTCTCTCTCTCTCTCTCTCTCTCTCTCTCTCTCTCTCTCTCGTCTGCCGTCGGTTCAGGCTTATAGTTGGTCACAAACAGGCTATGTTTCCTCTGCCCTGCTGACCCGTTTACCTGTGTCGTAGACCATGACGGTTGTACCCAGTGTAGTTAAACCCAGTGCTCACTGACTATTTGATTCATTCGATTTAATCTGGCCAAGCCAGGCTTTTGTTCATGAAGGGGCAAGGACACAATTTGACCAAATTAGACTGATTTCGAGTGTGGGCTTTAAAATCAAATGCCTTTGTTTTTCGGGCACTCGAGTCGAGCCAATCGAAACCATGGGAGGTAAACAGCCAATCACAGGGCTTGTAGGCTACCAGTCACAAGGTAAGGTTAGAACATTTGCTCGGATGCGGTAATGGACAAAGCAGATATTAATATTATAATGAAGAAGCTGATGCTGATAGACCAAGACAGCTATTGATATTTCCATGTCTGTGGGATTGAAGAACGTCTCAACATACAGCCGCAATATGCAGCAGTCGGCAAATGAAGCCATTATAGAAGATAATTGCTGTACTCTAAACGGTGAGAAAAAACACCACACACCCGTCAAAAGTTTTTATTCTTTAACGTCTGGGTCAAGTTTGACATATCAAGAAAGGAAACCATTCGAAGTGTACACTGAAGCCGATATTCATCAACTCGAACTTATCCGATCCGATCCAATTCTGCTAATGGGCACCCAGTATTAGGGTGGCACCTCCCAGTTTTCAAGCTGGGCAAGAATAACCTCTTATTCACACCTTACTTACACTTTCAGCAGGCTGGTAAATGTACTACCACCTTGTCAAAATTGTTTATTTTGACCTCCATTGTTTTTCATTGTGCACGATTATATCTAAGCATGTTACTTACATTCAGAATGAACTAAAATAGACATTGATTGATTGATGTATTTTACTGGCAAATAAAAATGTCTCGACTTTATTAATCTACGTCATTTTCTTCGTTGCACGTTCTCCCTTCCCCATGTCATTCAAATAGTCATAACTTTTGAACGGTTGAAGATATTGGTATTGAATTAAGTGCAAATCGCAAAGAAGAGTCTCATGAATGCGTTAAAGTATGTGCATTTTTTTAAAAATCTCAATATGCAAATTTTGTCCTATGGGAAGGCTTTGCCTTTCTGTGTCCTCTGGTGTGTGCTCTAGTGTGGTTTGCTCCTTCTTTCCTATCAAACCTATCGTACTTAACTCTCCTCCTTCTTATCTTTGTATGATACTTTCTAGTAACACCTCTTATCTTCAACACTGATATGACCTAATTTTGTTGCAAATGCTGTAAAACTCTTGCTAAAATAAAACACTAAAGTACTCGACTGTGCTGCCACACGACATGTAGCACATTTAGGAGGCGGCCGGTTTCGACCCTGCCTGTCTTGGCCAACCCGGGCAGAGAGGGACACAACATCCCAGCAGAGAGATTGAGAAGCACGGTAAAAATTCTCTACAAACGGGAATCGAACTCGGATCTCCCACTTGCGACGGCGAAACGTCAAATAACTGAACCACAGACGCTGGTAGGAATACCACCAATCCTTGTTCTAATACATTACGACATAAAACGCGTACCTGTGATCTTACCTGTTGGTCGCAGTTTTTTCTGAAGTTAGAAGGTGTCATTGATTCGCCGTTATTCAGTTCACGATTTTCCAATGAATTCAATTCAATGATCATAGTAATTATATTACTAGTTGTTTTAGTTGTGGTTGATGCTTTTTGTTTTTGTTTGTTGTTGTTGTGGGTTTTTTGTTTTGTTTTGGTCTTTTGGGGGGGGGGGTTGTTTTGGTTGCTTTTAAAAAATCATCAGTTTATGCTACCTGTATAGGTCAATGGGGCAAGGTATTACGATGATTCCCGATGAAACAAGGCATATATTGTCTTATTTCTTAACACTGGCACCAGCTGTGACAGCAATATCAAGGATTTGTGATGCACGGGAGGGACCGAGTGGAGTTGTAAGTATTCTCTCTCTCTCTCTCTCTCTCTCTCTCTCTCTCTC